ATACTTCAGATCTTCCTGTCATGTTTCATGTTTGTTTTCATTAGACAATTCCTTCCACTGTTGTGATAGGAATTATCACCCATATTTCATGTCTTCCTGTCATGTTTCATGTTTTCATTAGATAATTCCTTCCACTGTTGTGATAGGAATTATCACCCATATGCTACCAAATGTATGTCTCTGAATCTCTTCTTTGGTCTTTGGACTTGTATGGCCAACTGCTGCTAAAGTGTCTCCATACAGAGATGTCCATCTCGCTCAGCAAGTCCAAGCTAAACTCTCTCCACCAAACCTTCTATACATTCTACCTTTGTTCTTGATCCCAGTAGGTATAACCCCATCCGTCTATGGCAGCGGTTCTCAACCTGTGGGTCGCGACCCCTTTGGGGGTCGAATGACCCTTTCACAGGGGTCGCCTAAGACCATTGGAAAACACATATATAATTACATATTGTTTTTGTGATTAATCACTATGCTTTAATTATGTTCAATTTGTAACAATGAAAATACATCCTGCATATCAGATATTTACATGACGATTCATAACAGTAGCAACATTACAGTTATGAAGTAGCAACGAAAATAATTTTATGGTTGGGGGTCACCACAACATGAGGAACTGTATTAAAGGGTCGCGGCATTAGGAAGGTTGAGAACCACTGGTCTATGGTATAAATTTCAGAACCACCTGGGACACATTGTCCCCGTCCCCCACCACACAGTCAGGCATCAAGTCTTGCCCATTTTTGCCCCTAAGTAGGCCCCTAAGTAATTCTCAAATAAATTCCTCACTTTTCAACTGGGTAATTGCTGTTCTTGTGAAGGCCCTCCCAGCTTTAAAGAGTGCAAGTCAAATCACTCCTCAGCTTTAAAAGAGTTCTATTCCACCAGAATAAGCATGTCAAACTCACGGCCCGTGGGCCACATGCCTCACTTATTTGGCCCATGTTAGCCTTTGAGTTTGACATGCTTGCACTACTAAACTATAAGTTTCATGAGGACAGGAACTGGTGTCCATTGTGCTCACCTCTGCATCCTGCGTATCAAGCATAGTGCCCGACACAACACGTGGCTGGCACTCAGGAAATGTCTATTAAGTGACTAACAGCTCCCTACTGCCTAGGGTGCTTGGCCCTTCAGGCCCATCCTCACCCTTCCTTCCTGCTGGGAATGCCCTTCTCTGCCCTGCCTGCTCCCAGCCCCTGATCACCACCTCCTACTTTCTTAATTAAGTCACAGCTCAGATATCACCATCCCAGAATGCTTTCCCTGACACACACACACACACACA